GTTGGAGGGCAAGCTCGACGCCCCACTGGACCGCCTTCCCCCGCCCCGCCCACGCCTGCCCCACCAGTTCGTCGGGAAGTATCATGAAGGAAAGCACCAACACGAACAAGTGGCGAACGCGGAAGAAGGCTCCAAGGCTCGAAATGACGAATGATGTTTCTTAGATAACGCGGCGATTCGTGTAGTTGTTTGCTACCACCAAACTATATTGTATAAGAATCTTTACTTTTTATATCGCCAACTCATGTGAAACATAACCCCGAAATCGCTATTTTGTACTTAAGTAAAGAGGTAGGTACGATTAGGAAATAATAATTTAACTAGGACAAATATCGTAAAGATAGTTCACAAGGCAGCCTGCAGATAGAGTAAATGCGCTACTTGGGCGCGAAGTAAATTATACTACTCAGGGCAACCGTTCTTAAGGAAAATAAAGATTTTTTGCGGATATATCAATTTTCTTCTACACCGACGATATGTCATTGATATTGATTGTCATTGAATTATTTTAGCTGTCCAAAAGGTGATAAGCAATAGATTGAGAGCAAAATTGAGAATATTAATGCTACTTTTTATAAATACTGACCGTATAAACTGCGTAATATGTCAAACAAAGTATCAAAAAATTGCTTATAACACAATCAGGACATCACACAGCCAAGTCACAGTTTTACCATTGCGCAAATAGCGGGAATTATTAACACTGAAATGAATTAACCAGAGGGACGCAAAGAATACTTTTAATATTGTGAACTGAGGTTCCTTACAACCACAAGTGAACGCAGAATATTTATAAATTAAGCGCACCACTTCACAAACCTATACATTTAAACACACACAAATAAATTAGAAGAAAACACTAAAATACGACAGATGGCCACCACATTCATTTACCAACACATTCGAATTTACATCATTCGTTTTTTCAAGCCATTGAGTTATTCGATAAAATCTTGTCACATCACCTTTATTTCAGATGTTTGAACGAGAGGGAGGGAAGACTAGACTAGTGATAGCCATTTCCTAAAAATGAGATCACTTTACAAAATGAACTGAAACTCCTGTGCAATAAACATACGAAGTGGTTCAAATCCAGCCGAGTTGATTTTGATGACGCAGTGAAATAGTAGGGAAATGCTCTGCCAGATGCTGAGTTTGCAAAAGGGAAGAACTAACCTTCTTGGCCAGTAATTGAACCACTGAATGTCTGATTATTTATAGTTTTAAAATGAACTTTATTTATTGACCTATTTATTTATTACTACACTGCCCTTTCTGTTTGAGTGCTCCCTGATGTGTGTAAGTGTGATGCGCGTCACAATACTTT